CCTCTACCTGTACATAAACACAGAAAAACGTACAGAAACATCCATGCCCTGAGTGGGATTCGAACCCACGATCCCGGCTTCCGAGCGAGCGAAGACAGTGCACGCCTTAGACCGCTCGGCTACCGTGACCGGCGTCAACTGAGTATTACCAGCCACATACTAACACAAAAATTAATAAATACATATTTATTTTAACAAAATTAGTGAAACAAAACAAAGTTATGCCTGTATTTAATTAATTAAGCGCCACACCATTGAGACGTAGTTGTAAATGGACGTATAACTCCACCATTCTTAACCTCAACACTAGACGGAGATGAGTGGTCATCTGTACGTCCCGGTAGGTTTATCACCGGAGAATGAGCCACCGGAATCTATTATACAGAAGGTTATCTGGATCTCAGAGCCTCTCGACATGATGTGGAGCAGAGTAAAATTTATCGCTCTTGCCGAAAATCGAACCCGACCTTTCGTCCCGGAGAACCTCTCTATACCAACTAAGCTAATCCGGCTATATTAGTCAAACAACAAATAGAATTAACGTGAATTGTTACATGTTGCACATTTTTCCATCCTCAATTTTTTGGTCAAGAAAATGTTTTGAAAACTGACTCTGTTACCCTTATCAGGTAAATGTATGAAACATACTTTGTTGGGCCCGTCACAGTTCTATCTGATGAGGGAAGCAGAGCCAGCTTCCAAAACATGCTTTAATCAAAAACGAGATGATGGAAATTTTCCAAAGGCTGTCAGTTTAATATGATAAAGTCAAGGAGGATGAGGTGGGCAGGTCATGTAGCACGAATGGAGGAGACGAGGAATGCGTATAGAATATTGGTGGGAAAGCCAGAAGGAAAGAAACCACAGGGAAGACCAAGGCGTAGGTGGGTGAACAATATTAGAATGGATCTTAGAGAGATAGAATAGGATGGTATGGATTGGATAGATGTGGCTCAGGATAGGGACCAGTGGAGGGCTCTTGTGAACACGGTGATGAAACTTCGGGTTCCATAAAAGGCTGGGAAATTCTTGAGTAGCTGCAGAATTGGCGGCTCCTCAAGAAGGGGTCAGCTCTGTAAGTAAGTAAGTAAGTTAGTGTCACTTTAATAGCAGGTACTCGGCACAAACCTATCTACGGATATTGCAACGATATCCGAGTCCACTGACCATTCATTAGGTTTAGAGATCGATAAGATAGCAGGAACATTTCGATACAATTAAGTAATCAGATTCTGCTCACGGATGATGACACTGGAAGCACATCATCAGGCTTCATTTCTGCAAGAATTCATCTCCGAGCAATTACCGCTGCTAAGAAATTGGATTGCGATTTCCATTCTGTACCCCTTCATGACTTCCGTCTCAATAGATGGGACAATGAGGGAAATAAATTACAAATGTTCTCGATACAAACATAGATGTATCGGCTACCGAGACAATTTTATTATTTATCCCACCTTATTCCTAATGCAAATATTCTCTACATATTAGTAAATCAATTAGAAAACCTAGAGTTCATAAGAAACAATTTGTTTACTTCTGGGGACACACAGAAGCAAGTAAACAGTAAGGACAAGTTTTAAGAATTTAACTTACAGGGAAATATATTACACAATTTTTTATCTGTGAATATCATTATTTTATTCTTTTACTGATATGATATTCAGAGGCACTAAACGTAATGCAAATTGCAATAGAGTAAACATGTTAATTTACGCTGTCTCCAAATAGCCTAGCACCAATTAACATACGTTGCCACATATCAAGGTTATGTTGTTTGGTTAGAAACTCTATGCAGAAACTAATAAAGATTGAGAGAAAAAGAGAGACAGACAGGCAGAAGATAGGAAAATCTCTCTGCAGTGTCACTTGTCCTCTCCAACAAAATCTCATCATATTGTCACGTGTAGGGGGGTAAGCGTGATTGATATTTTAAGGTCTAGATTGGATTGATTGGATTTAATAGACATCTCTGTTACAATTTCACTTGATTACAACAGTTCACACATTTGACTTCTTTTGGATAACGAATCTCTCACTGTTGTCTGGATCTTGCACTAGCCTCTAGTCTTCTCTTCTTTATCCTTTGTATTCTTCTGTCGTACTCTGTTCTGTTTTGGTCAGTTCGCACCCTGAGGTAGGTTCCGGTCGAACCGTATGGATATCACCTCTTTTTCCGGCTCCGATATAACTGCCCGTTTCCTTTTCCGTTGCTTAGGAGACGTCTTCAATAGTTTATTAATTAATTCGCTTAGTGGGGGGTGTAGTTCAACTGGGTCCACTCGGCACGGCGGCCACTGATTGGCCTATTATAGCCTGCCCCGGGTGATTATGATGATGAAGAATTTGGTGGAATGAAGATTGGCAGGGGAAACCGAAGTACTCGGAGAAAACCTGACCCAGCGCCACTTTGTCCACCATAAATCCCACTTGACCAGACCCGGGATCGAACCCTGGCCGCCGCGGTGGGAAGCCAGCGACTAACCGCTTGAGCTATGGCGCGGCCTCTTCAATAGTTCCTCTGTTGTCGTGGTTATTGAGACCTTCGCTACTAAGTAACGGAAATTCTATTGTTGACCGCGTTACGCCGGTTCTTGTGGTTACGTATCTTAAGAGAACTGCATGTTCATGCTCATGCAGTCTTGTCATGTCTGTTCTCAATGTTGCTGTTCTCTTGCAGCAGGGGAAATCAAACGCCACGCAACTGACTTTACGACAAGTGCAACTTTCCTTGTCGGGGCGCTACAGCTGCGAGGTGTCAGCAGATGCACCCTCGTTCCACACGGCCCTCGTCTCTGGAGACATGGACATTGTAGGTAGGTTTCCACATTGACCATTAAACTGGGAATTCAGAGGAAATCTCAGGCTAGTAAGAAACTCACGCTATAATAATGTGCTTTAGTAGTTCCAGAGAAAGGAACCAAATTATATCCAACTATTGTTTCGTGTTGTTCCTCCAGTTATAAACAAGAATGTGAAATGTACGACGTAAATGGATGCATAGAATTTGTAAACGTAATCCTTCTGTACTCTTTCCTAAGTATTCACGTGACACCATAGCCACTTGTAAGATAACCTTCAAGTTTATGTGGTGCTCGATCTGAAAATATTTTTGAGCAACTTTTGTTCATGTGACATTCTTGAGGAAATAGAAATGAAGACATAACAGCCGTAAGAAATCTATACTTAAGGAGTCACATGTTGTAAATGTATGACTGCTGTAACATATGTTTAAGGCGGCGCCATAGCTCAAGCGGTTAGTCGCTGGTTTCCCACCGCTGCTGCCCGGGTTCGATCCCGGGTCTGGTCAAGTGGGATTTGTGGTGGACAAAGTGGCGCTGGAGCAGGTTTTCTCCGAGTGCTTCGGTTTCCCCTGCCAATCTTCATTCCACCAATTGCTCTAGAATCACCCACACCTATCGTCTGGGGCTGGTACATTAGGCCAGAAGTGACCTCAGTACAAGGGACTTAGTCCCACCCCACTAGCAATAAAAAAGCATATGTTTAATCTGGAATTAGATTAGAGACACGTCATGAAAATGCCTAAAAATTTTATGTAAAACATTTAACGTGTAATCGATTATAAATATGGGGATGGTACAAAATTCTTAAAAAAAAATCAGCATAGAAATAATTAAATATTTTAAACAATATTGTGCACGGGACATGTAGCACGCATGCGAGAAATCGGAAATTCGTGTAAAGCTTAGTTACAAGAAGTTTAAAAAGGCAGATTATTTGAGATACATCGGCAGAAATATGAAGAGAACATTAAACTTTATCTAGAAGAAATAGGGTGCTGCGTGGGTTCATTAACTCAAGACGAGGAATGCTGGAGAGTTCTGTGAACAGAGTATTAATATAGTTATTCTTTGTGTGTTAGGCCGATTAATACCTTGAAGTCCGCGTATCTCAGTCTACATGAATATTCGCGATTCATAAAAAGATGAAGGAATTTTTGGACTATTTGAGCACCGAAGAGCTTCTTAAGGCATCTAAGTCAAGGGGTTGGTATTTTGTATAATTGGATTAAAACTTCATGCCCTGATTTATTTTACTCCCTTATATATTCGTAAGCTCTGTATACAGATTATTATATGAAAGCTGATGAAAGACAATTCGCGGGGGAGGAAGACGCATTGTCCAACCTAATGTATAAAGTTCCATTAACTTATGAGTGGTGTTATCCATTACCCCCATTATCTAAATGACAATGTATAATTCTCTTTGGTGGATGTATGGACAATTTTACATAAGCCTATTAAATTGTATGGAAGTTTCCAACTCCCTCCATCCGGCAACTGATCAGTACAGTATTATCAAGAGAAATCAGTTTCTGGATTTGCACGCTATTTTTGCTCAATGCAATTGAGCAATATTTGCATCGAATTTTCTGAATCTGCACATCGCTAATACACACTGAAATTCAAAACTGTCAACCCAGAGCCACAAACAGGAAGGATTACACAACACAATTTTGATACTGCTTCATTTAGCTTAATGGCAAAATGAAAATTTTCTTAACCTAAAATTACTTTCCTACCAGAAATTGCTAAGACAAAGATTGTCACTATACTGCTGTACTCAAACCGGCCATTTTACATGCAAAGTTTTAATGATTCATCGGGTGTGAACATTCGCTAAATATGCTAGCAGCCATATTGTTAGTCCCTAATTCCCTAGAAAACCCAGAAATGAATATTATATATTCTTCGAAGTTATATGAATATATCTTGCATAATGCGGAGCGTCATAACTTGTAGTCTTCGCAAAATATAATTAGAATGATCAAGTCAAGGAATATGAGATGGGCAGGGCATGTAGCAAGCATGAAAAAACCAGGAATGTTTTAAAGATTTCCGTAGAAAATTCAGAACGAAAGGAACCACTAGGAAGACCAAGACTTAACCAGAAGGATAATATTAATATGAATTTTAGAGAGTTAGGGCTGGAATGGCATGGAATGGATTGAGCTAGGTCAGGATAGAGTTCTGTAGAAGGCTCTTGTGAACACAGTAACGAACTTTCGGTTGCCATAAAAGTTTGGGAAATTCTGGAGTAGCTGAACAACTAGTGGCTCCTCAAGAAGGACTCACCTCCATAGAGGTAGTTAGTTAGTTTTTTTTTTCTGTTTGTATGGTGGATAGTTAAGTACTTACCTCAGAAGACTTCGGAATTGTACAACGAGAGAGGTACTCTCTCTGAGGTGTGATGTCAAGATATATGGGAAATGTTTACAGAGTTTTGGAGGAACTTAGTGCCTGCGTCCTGATAGTCAGAGAGTAAGCCAAGCAAGTAATCAGCAAGCACAGTCTGCTCCCTTCTTGCTAGCTTCCTCATAAAACTAGGTAAACTTCTACCGGATTGGCGTCTCCGCACCGTGAGAACTCCAACAAGAATTGTGTTCTCATCTCTGCTGCACGTAACGTCTCAGCTTCATGAAAATGAGTTAAAATGTACTCTGCTGATTTTCCTTCCATGCAAAATATCATGAAATTAGACAAATTAATATGTTTACATGATGATTGTGATCCATTCATGAGTCTAACTTAAGGAAAAAATGAAAAAGAGATGCGTTCACTTTGAAAATGTGGCACAGTTCAGAATTTTGGGAACAACGATAACAGATCGAAACCGAATTCAGAAAGAAATTAAGAGGTGATTGAACTCGGGTAATGCTTGCTACCATTCAGTCCAGAACCTTTTGTCTTCTCGTCTGTTGTCCAAAAACATAAAAATTAGAATATACAAAACTATAATTTTGCCTGTGGTTCTGTATAGCTGTGAAACTTGGTCTCTGACATTAAGGGAGGAACATAGACTGAGGGTGTTTGAGAAGAGGGTGTTGAGGAGAATATTTGGGCCGAAGAGGGATGAAGTGACAGGAGGTTGGAGAAAGCTGCATAATGAGGAGCTTCATAACTTGTACTCTTCTCCAAGTATAATTAGAATGATCAAGTCAAGG